CAGTCACTCACTTAGCCACCCACACAGACACTTAGTCACTCATTCAGTCACTCACCTAGCCACCCACAGTCACTCACCTAGCCACCCACACAGTCACTCATTCACGCACTCACCTAGCCACCCACACAGTCACTCATTCACTCAGTCACTCACCTAGCCACCCACACACCCAGTCACTCATTCACTCAGTCACTCATCTAGACACTCACACAGTCACTCATTCACTCAGTCACTCACCTAGCCACCCACACACTCAGTCACTCATTCACTCAGTCACTCACCTAGCCACCCACACACTCAGTCACTCATTCACTCAGTCACTCACCTAGCCACCCACACACTCAGTCACTCATTCACTCAGTCACTCACCTAGCCACCCACACACTCAGTCACCTAGCCACCCACACAGTCACTCTTTCACTCAGTCACTCACCTAGCCAACCATACAGACACTTAGTCATTCAGTCACTCATCTAGCCACCCAGACACTCACCTAGCCACCCACACACTCATTCACGCAGTCACTCACCTAGCCACCCACATAGACAGTCACTCATTCACTCACCTAGCCACCTACAGACACAGTCACTTATTCACTCAGTGACTCACCTAGCCACCCACACAGTCACTCACCTAGCCACCCACACACTCACTCACCTAGCCACCCACACACTCACTCATTCACTCAGTCACTCACTTAGCCACCCACACAGACACTTAGTCACTCATTCAGTCACTCACCTAGCCACCCACAGTCACTCACCTAGCCACCCACACAGTCACTCATTCACTCAGTCACTCACCTAGCCACCCACACAGTCACTCATTCACTCACCTAGCCACCCACACACTCAGTCACCTAGCCACCCACACACTCAGTCACTCATTCACTCAGTCACTCACCTAGCTAACCATACAGACACTTAGTCATTCAGTCACTCATCTAGCCACCCAGACACTCACCTAGCCACCCACACAGTCACTCATTCACGCAGTCACTCACCTAGCCACCCACATAGACAGTCACTCATTCACTCACCTAGCCACACAGTCACTCACCTAGCCACCCACACACTCAGTCACTCACCTAGCCACACACACAGTCACTCACCTAGCCACCCACACACTCAGTCACTCACTCACCTAGCCACACACACAGTCACTCACTCACCTAGCCACCCACACACTCAGTCACTCACCTAGCCACCCACACAGACACAGTCACTCACCTAGCCACCCACACAGACACTCAAGTCACTCATTCACTCACTCACCTAGCCACCCACACATTCAGTCACTCACTCACCTAGCCACCCACACAGACACACACTCACCTACGCACCCACACAGACACTGTCACTCATTCACTCACCTAGCCACCCACACAGTCACTCACTCACCTAGCCACCCACAGTCACTCACCTAGCCACCCACACACTCAGTCACTCACCTAGCCACCCACACACTCAGTCACTCATTCATCTAGCCACCCACACACTCATTCACACACTCACCTACCCACCCACACACTCAGTCACTCATTCACTCAGTCACTCACTTAGCCACCCACAAAGACACTCATTCACTCAGTCACTCACCTAGCCACCTACAGACACAGTCACTTATTCACTCAGTGACTCACCTAGCCACCCACACAGTCACTCACCTAGCCACCCACACACTCACTCACCTAGCCACCCACACACTCACTCATTCACTCAGTCACTCACTTAGCCACCCACACAGACACTTAGTCGCTCATTCAGTTACTCACCTAGCCACCCACAGTCACTCACCTAGCCACCCACACAGTCACTCATTCACGCACTCACCTAGCCACCCACACAGTCACTCAGTCACTCACCTAGCCACCCACACACCCAGTCACTCATTCACTCAGTCACTCATCTAGACACTCACACAGTCACTCATTCACTCAGTCACTCACCTAGCCACCCACACACTCAGTCACTCATTCACTCAGTCACTCACCTAGCCACCCACACACTCAGTCACTCATTCACTCAGTCACTCACCTAGCCACCCACACACTCAGTCACTCATTCACTCAGTCACTCACCTAGCCACCCACACACTCAGTCACCTAGCCACCCACACAGTCACTCTTTCACTCAGTCACTCACCTAGCCAACCATACAGACACTTAGTCATTCAGTCACTCATCTAGCCACCCAGACACTCACCTAGCCACCCACACACTCATTCACGCAGTCACTCACCTAGCCACCCACATAGACAGTCACTCATTCACTCACCTAGCCACCTACAGACACAGTCACTTATTCACTCAGTGACTCACCTAGCCACCCACACAGTCACTCACCTAGCCACCCACACACTCACTCACCTAGCCACCCACACACTCACTCATTCACTCAGTCACTCACTTAGCCACCCACACAGACACTTAGTCACTCATTCAGTCACTCACCTAGCCACCCACAGTCACTCACCTAGCCACCCACACAGTCACTCATTCACTCAGTCACTCACCTAGCCACCCACACAGTCACTCATTCACTCACTCACCTAGCCACCAACACACTCAGTCACTCAGTCACTCACCTAGCCACCCACACAGTCACTCATTCACTCACCTAGCCACCCACACACTCAGTCACCTAGCCACCCACACACTCAGTCACTCATTCACTCAGTCACTCACCTAGCTAACCATACAGACACTTAGTCATTCAGTCACTCATCTAGCCACCCAGACACTCACCTAGCCACCCACACAGTCACTCATTCACGCAGTCACTCACCTAGCCACCCACATAGACAGTCACTCATTCACTCACCTAGCCACACAGTCACTCACCTAGCCACCCACACACTCAGTCACTCACCTAGCCACACACACAGTCACTCACCTAGCCACCCACACACTCAGTCACTCACTCACCTAGCCACACACACAGTCACTCACTCACCTAGCCACCCACAGTCACTCACTCACCTAGCCACCCACACACTCAGTCACTCATTCACTCACTCACCTAGCCACCCACACACTCAGTCACTCACTCACCTAGCCACCCACACACACAGTCACTCACCTAGCCACACACTCACTCACCTAGCCACCCACACACTCACTCATTCACTCACTCACCTAGCTACCCACACAGTCACTCACTCACCTAGCCACCCACACAGTCACCTAGCCACGCACACAGTCACTCACTCACCTAGCCACCCACACACTCACTCACTCACCTAGCCACCCACACAGTCACTCACCTAGCCACCCACACTCAGTCACCCACTCACCTAGCCACCCACACACTCAGTCACTCACTCACCTAGCCACCCACACAGACACAGTCACTCACCTAGCCACCCACACACTCAGTCACTCACTCACCTAGCCACCCACACACTCAGTCACTCACTCACCTAGCCACCCACACAGACACAGTCACTCACCTAGCCACCCACACAGACACTCAAGTCACTCATTCACTCACTCACCTAGCCACCCACACATTCAGTCACTCACTCACCTAGCCACCCACACAGACACACACTCACCTACGCACCCACACAGACACTGTCACTCATTCACTCACCTAGCCACCCACACAGTCACTCACTCACCTAGCCACCCACAGTCACTCATTCACTCACCTAGCCACCCACACACTCAGTCACTCACCTAGCCACCCACACACTCAGTCACTCATTCATCTAGCCACCCACACACTCATTCACACACTCACCTACCCACCCACACACTCAGTCACTCATTCACTCAGTCACTCACTTAGCCACCCACAAAGACACTCATTCACTCAGTCACTCACCTAGCCACCTACAGACAGTCACTTATTCACTCAGTGACTCACCTAGCCACCCACACAGTCACTCACCTAGCCACCCACACACTCACTCACCTAGCCACCCACACACTCACTCATTCACTCAGTCACTCACTTAGCCACCCACACAGACACTTAGTCACTCATTCAGTCACTCACCTAGCCACCCACAGTCACTCACCTAGCCACCCACACAGTCACTCATTCACTCACCTAGCCACCCACACAGTCACTCATTCACTCACTCACCTAGCCACCCACACACTCGTCACTCAGTCACTCACCTAGCCACCCACACAGTCACTCATTCACTCACCTAGCCACCCACACACTCAGTCACCTAGCCACCCACACACTCAGTCACTCATTCACTCAGTCACTCACCTAGCCAACCATACAGACACTTAGTCATTCAGTCACTCATCTAGCCACCCAGACACTCACCTAGCCACCCACACAGTCACTCATTCACGCAGTCACTCACCTAGCCACCCACATAGACAGTCACTCATTCACTCACCTAGCCACACAGTCACTCACCTAGCCACCCACACACTCAGTCACTCACCTAGCCACACACACAGTCACTCACCTAGCCACCCACACACTCAGTCACTCACTCACCTAGCCACACACACAGTCACTCATTCACTGTCACTCACTTAGCCACCCACACACTCAGTCACTCACCTAGCCACCCACACACTCAGTCACTCATTCACTCACCTAGCCATCCATACAGACACTTAGTCATTCAGTCACTCACCTAGCCACCCAGACAATCACCTAGCCACCCACACAGTCACTCATTCACGCAGTCACTCACCTAGCCACCCACATAGACAGTCACTCATTCACTCAGTCACTCACCTAGCCACACACAGTCACTCACCTAGCCACCCACACACTCAGTCACTCCCTAGCCACACACACAGTCACTCACCTAGCCACCCACACACTCAGTCACTCACCTAGCCACACACACAGTCACTCACCTAGCCACCCACACACTCAGTCACTCATTCACTCAGTCACTCACCTACCCTATGCCCAACTTCCTTCATGTCTCCACGCTCATGTTCAATCGATTCCAGTTCGATGTCAAACATGCATCTCTCCATGCTTTTATTTTCAAACACGGTTCTATTTTCTCTTGGGGTTTATATTTGCAAGCGTATTAACCTGCTAAATACACGCACTGTACAGAATGCCAACCCATGTTTTTCAATGGGATTTTCAATGAGTCGGGGTATATTTTTACCAGCCCCCCCCCAAAAGGGTCTCTTTGGCATTTATTTCAGAGCTCTCCGTTATGAAATTAAATGGGCAATATTAGTGCCATGGGCTACAGCAAGAAAGGAGCATCACTCGTGGTGGGAGCAAAAACTTTGGCTATGAGCAAGTTGAGAACCCCCCCAAATTGTAAATTAATTGGAGCCGCTAAAGTTACGGCACCCGAGGACTGCCAAGTGAAATCTGGTTTGGGGCTCATGGACAAAATAGCAATGCACACGGCAGACAAACTCGGCAGGTTAAGGAGACTAATCATAATTATTTTAATTTCAACATTCTTCATTTCCACTGCGACCTTTAAAATCTTTCGGTGCAGTCAATATAGAAATCTAAATTAATCCTCCAAAAAATGACAACTAAAATGTAAACGCGTCAAATTGCACTTTCGACCTATACCCACGGTTAACTTTCAACAAGAGTGATGGGACATTCACAAATAATACACAAAGTGACAATGATGTTGACACCGACGTTCAATACGGCATGAAACATGTTGAGTTGTCTTCTATGAAGACTGGGCAGTGGAGAAGCACAGTTTGAGGGTGTAGAGGTATGGAACATCTGAGAAAATAAAAACAGGGGAGCCACATGACGTCTTCACTGGAGCACACAAAAACTTAAAACAATGAAGCGATTCTTAGGAGGGTCTTTGTTGATGTTAACAAACTCGTTCAGGGAGCTAAGATAACGTTGAGTTGTGATAAGTGAAAGTGCTTGGCTATGTCAACTTTCAATTCCATTCTGTATATGCAAACAATAACAACGAAATCCAAATCGCCCATAAATAACAACCTGTTAATATATAATACAACAATCTACAACTGCTTTCGCTTCCTGCAATTTCACCCAAGGCTGCTAAGCAGCCAGTGTACACAGATGGTGCTATGGTAATAACAAGCGCCCCCCCCAAATCTGAACATTAGGTGCTCAACAGAGCGTACGACCAAAGATTTGCCGATAATGCAGCACCGCTTCAATGTCATCGCACCAACACAAATGGCCAACACCCCACAACTTACTTGCGTTCTTCAGGGGGTGATGGTTAATGCACGCCAGAGCCTCCATGGCATCGTTCTTGGTCTCCCACTCCATCAGGCCGGACACGCTCCTATCGGCTGGACACGTGGACGGACCGTCGCTCATAGAGTAATTTGGGTCGTGTAAAACGCAACACCCTTCGCCATTTTGATTTAAAGCTTTCGTGACTGCAGGGATTCATATTCTTGGTTCTTTCGGTAAAGTCACCACCACGTAGAAGGGAAACAATAAAATAATAAAAATATAAAACAATAAAATTCTCACGACGTTTCGACTGCAACACAAGCAATCATCATCAGGTGTGAAAACCACAGCAAGAAAATTTTAAAAAAGTGGCGGTTATTTTTAACGTTAGCACCACGGAGAGCGATTTGGCAGTTGTTCAGATGGACGAGTCCATCTATGTTCTGAAAAGAGGAGGGGGGAGACGAAAATAATGGATGCGGTCTGAAAGCCACCGTAAGCGTGAACAATCAATTAAGACCCGAAATGGTTTATCAAATCCTTCCAATGATTGCTAAGCCAGAATCCATCTTCTCGGTTGAAATTGTCTGTGTTTGTATATATTTATTATTTTGTTGTTTCCCTTCTACGTGACTTTACCTAAAGAACCAAGAATATGAACCTTTGCCGTGTTTAAAGGGTGGTGTCAGTCGTCGGTGAATTTCTGCAGCAGGAAGGCTTCAGTCCGATGCCTTGGCTACGCTAACACGCTTCAGTCAGCTTGGGCGCGAGTGAATAGCAAGGACTGCTCTCGGGAGAGAATTTCTCACAGGGTTTCTTGAGCATGGCCTCATAGCACACGTTGCAGATCATCTGGTGTCGTGCTGTAAATCAAGCGACGATTGCATGGAGAATACAGTACACGATTTATTCTGTGCCATGACACGTAAGATAAATAATAAACATACTTTGCGGGACTTACTTTTTCCAGAAAACACTTTGAAAGAGCGGGGCCTCGCAATCGACATTTCGTCGCACAGCTGCGGGGACAGAACGGGCGGCGTTTCACGTTAATAGTTGGTAACAGTTAACGTGCACCGGTAAAGCATTCGGGAGATGTCATTTTAATTGCAGGCACAAATCCCGTTGTCCATTTTTTAATTTACATTCGCCAGCTTTGGAGCAGTCTTTCAAAGTGCTCAGATTATTGTGAACACCAAGCATAGACTCAGGGGGAATGCAACCATTTGCAGAAACAATGTCCAAAGACTGAAATGTAAACCTTTCGAATACGAATATGAATCGTAATGTATTAAACAGGACAAATTAACGCGAGGTGTTGTCTAGTCTGTAACAAAAAAGTCCCTTTGGAACATCGACTGCATTATTTATACATCTTATGTTTTAACCGCTGAAAGGAAACTACATTACACCATTTTACATTTGTCCCGTCACAGGAAACGTGTCATTGGCCACCACAAACTCCACAACATCAATAGGCTCATCTTAAAAACCCACGATTGTTTCATGTGCAAAATTTGGACTTGAATATTTATAAAAGCTTCACCTGGGAAAACTTTTAAAGAAACCGAACGCGCTCCCCTTCTGCGCTGCTGGCAGCAGGCTGAAGGGGCGGCGGGGGCACGGACCTGCGCGAACATCTCGGCCGTGATGTCCGTGGGCGCGTTGAAGAAGTGCAGCACCGCGGTGGGACGCTGGTTGCGGTTCTTCGCCGCCTTCTCGCTGTCGGCGTAGCGGTGGTTGTGAGAACCTGCGTAGTCCCTGTAGCTGTCGGTGCCGTCCGGCAGCTCGAACGCCTGGCCCGGCACAATCGACCGCTGCCTCGACACGCTGCCGAGACGAGGGCGGAAGGGAGGGAATAGCGCGAAGAAACTGTTTTTAGTTTTTATTTTATCACGTTCCAAATTTCACGTGCTCTTTGGTTCGATTCGGTAAAGTCACGTGGGTAAAAAATAAAATAACAAAAAATCACGACGTTTCGGCCACAACACAAGTGGCCTTCATCAGGTGAAGGGACCGGACTGTCCAGAGGACAGCGTTGGAGTGAAGACAGCAAGCCCAGGTCGCGTCCTTTAAGCTTGTGATCGCGGCATCTTTTGAGGAAGGTCAGCGTCTCGATGAGCTTTGACTTCTTGTCCCGTTGTCTGTTGAAAGCTCTAACAGATAGGTGAAAGCCCTCCCCGTAGAGCTTCAAATCTAGAATCCAAATTTCACGTTCGCTATTTCAATAAAGGCCCTCCCCGTAAAGCTTCAAATCTAGAATCCTAAATTTCATGTTCGCCACTTCAATAAAGGCTCTGGACAGCAAGTCACCGGGGTCCTCGTGAGCTGTGTGACGAGTGTTTCGTTCACGGTATTCATCAGCTCTCTTTTTCACCGTCCTAAAATTTAGTCACTTGCACTAAATATTTACTAAAGTTGTCTTCTCTAAATGAGAAAGCAGTATCCAATTACATTAACAGGATATGACGAGTTACATTTACCAATTTAACACGGGAACAAAAAGGCTCACCAGAGGTTGATTTTATTTCCAAAGATCTGAGACATATTGAGGTGAAAAACCGCCCTGTGCACGGCGTACTGATCTCCCATCTCGACCATGGCGGCTCCCGGCTTGCTCTTCAGGAACTTAACCTACAAAAATAACAACCCGTAAGACGGTTCAGCATCGCGCAATCTTGCACGAAAATATCTACAAGTTTCGTTGTAACGCATTGTTGAAATGTGAAGTGTTGGCCGAGGGGCCATTAGAAAACATGCACAAAGAACACTTCGCATTGGGTACATTTTTGTAAAGAAAATGACCAAATGTGTATGTTGTCAATCGGTGAACAAATTTGGTCGTGTGAATCTCCCACTTTATATAACACGATCAGCGCATGACGTGCACCACACGCGTGCGTACGCATTGCACCGCGGTTGAACCTTTGGAAGAAAAAAAACAGGGACTCATTTCAAAGCAGGTGCGCGCAACACCCAGCGAAGGCACCTTCTCCACGTCGCCGAAGAGGCAGAGGATGTTAAACACGCGGTCGCAGTTGAAGCGTTCGGCGTCCAAGTCGTACACAATGAGGACCTTGTTGTCGGCCTGCTGGTTCATCATGGCTTGCACGTGCTGGCCCTGGGTACCACCCTGGGGCCCAACCTGGTTGCCCATGCCTACTCCCATGCCCATTCCTCCCCCACCGCCCATGCCGTCGCGGCCAGATCCGTAGTCGACGCCCGGTGGTGGTGGCTGCTGGTGGCCTGTGACGCAAACACACAAGAGGGGGAAACGCATAGTGAACTAGCTGAAACTCTCTAAACTTCTCTGAAAAACAGATTTATGACAACCATCATCTTACACACGTGTGCCCTTTCCTATAAGGTCAGGTAACCCAGGAATCACCACTCTACTCCTTGGAGACACTGGAAAACATTGGTCCAGAAGACTCAGTTGCCTAGGGAATAGACTAAACTAGTTTTTATTTTAGGTTGAGGGCCACCAAGCTAGAGCTCTTATTCAGCATAGCTTGTTTTAAATACCCAATACATCTGATAGCTATTGGAAATATCGTCTCTTAAAACACAAAGCAACTCATACGTTGCAATTGTTAATCGCAAAAAAAGGTTTTTAGGATGCACCTTAACACTAATTCCAAATAAGAAATGTTCTCAACAGGCAGCAGGTTCTTTCAATCTGACAGCAAGCTGAAGGAAACCGAAATTATAGCATTCGCAACAAGGGGATTACCTCCACAGTCGCCACCACCGCAAGCGTGTGCTTTGGGATGGTCGCCAAGGAGAGACGTTTGCTTCGCTGGCATCATTGCATTGTCCTCTGAAAACAACAAAAAAACGATCACCAAATTCACCCACGGGAAACATAAGCGCTCATTGCTGCACAAAATAAGGACAATCCAAAAAATGCATTCTGCACCCAGAACATTCACATGACCAACACATTAAGAAATTCCGGGCACACTCCACACGGGGGTGCGCTGCGTCTGTCGATAAAAACAATTGGCGGTATTTTTAAAATGCAGATTTCACATGGCGCAACATAAATAACGAGCACCATACAAAATACAGCGCGTAAAGAAACGCTCATCGCAAGAAGAAGAAAAAACAAAATTTATTGGAGGTGTACAGATGCACGCGACAAATTGTTCCGAGGTGCGGCGTCAGCGAGTGTCCGTGGTTGCCGCCTGCGATGCCCGCTCGTTTCTTACCCAGTCTACGCTTCGACGGGAACACAAAGTTGCCCAGAGTCGGGCGGCGGCTGACGACCCATCGCGAGGAGGATGCAACAGAAAGGCCGGCGCCTTCTTTCCTGCGCCAACAGCAGTCACGCTCGGCACAAATGGACCCCCCCGCGTTGTCCGTGCCACCGCACCTCTCGCTCTCCGGCGACCCTTTTTGGTTTGGGGCTTAAAATTGGGACGCTTGAAGTGGGCGACGGGGCCTTACGAACCTTTAAAATGAAAAAGATCGCCGCTTATAAACCGATGCGAAATGCGTTGTGTCTGGCATCAGCAATGTCAAAAGCCTCGTTTGCAAACAAAACTTTAGCAAGGCAGTCTAAACGTACGAGCGTGGAGGTAAATTCTCACCAACGGAGCGATTTTAAGCCCCAAACGCATCGGCACGCGTTCCGTTTGGCTTATTTCCAAGTCCCGTTCGCGGTGAATGCGGGCTTTCGTCGCTCCCGGCTTCTTCGCGGCGGTTCTGGTGCTTTGCCGGTCTGTCAGCGCCGTGTCCCCCGGTGCCTGCGGCTGGACGTGGGTTATCCGATGGCCTCTGCCAAGCGGCACGTGGCGGGTTGCGGTGGCAGCGGACGCGGCGTGCTGCGCTGCAGGCGTGGGGGGCGCGGGTCGGCCGTGCGTGTCACAGCGGCGGCGGCGTGTTGGTTGCTTGGTCCCCGGTGCCTCCCAAGTGCCGACGAGGATGTCGCCAATGTCGCCGTTCGTGTCGTCGCCGTTCACGTCGGTGGCTGTTGGCTGCCGGGCGCTTTATTGCTCGTGTGTTGCTTGAAAATTGCCTCCGTGTGCTTCTGTGTGCGGCAATGCTCGCAGATGCTCCTTGTAGCGTTGATGTTGGGAGTGAGGAAAATACTCTTCGAAGCGTTTACGGAAATTTGGCGATTAAATCAAACCGCACCGTGTCCCTGAAGCTCCTTGATAAAGTGGCGAGACTTACCTCTTCGGAAACTAATATCTGTGCGTACACACAATGTACTCGGGACAAAGATACCATTTTCCTGTTCAGGCTCAATCGTACCAAATTAAAAGGGTTACTTTATAATAAGTGATATTTTCAATCGTAAATATCGGCTTTTCTGACATCCTCTAAG